TACTTGTGGGAGGACATTTTTTTTCACGAAAGATCAGAGGAGCTTAAAGTATCTTCTGAAGCGGCGAAAGGTGTTTGAGGAGCAGTAGAGATGGCTATCCAAGCTACTGGGGTATGATTTCGAGATTTAGTACTGGCTATGATTGACGAGAAAGGTGGAGCCTCAATTGACGGCCCTATGTGTACCCTTGGTCATAGATTGTGAATCTCTGAGATAGGAAAGTGAACGAGATGAGGTGCTGAGGAAGATGAGGGTCGAGATACTACAGGATCCGAACAGTCATCCAGGATATGTATTAAGGGGGCAATAGCTGCTCCACTAGAGCCGATTCATGCTACCCAAGATGTTGAGGTATATTCCCAGATTATTATAAGAGTTTCATGGCAGTGCAAATCAGAAGACACTCGGGGGTGTAGAAGACATATAGTCGTCTGGCGGCAGAATTTTATTTGGTGGGGATAGGCAAAGACGTTGAGGATCTAGTGACAAAATGTGTTGTATGCCAGTGACACAAGTACTTGACCACAACACCAGGAGGGTTACTACAACCATTAGCATTACCGGAGAAGGGGTGGGAAGACGCGATGATACATTTCATTGGGGGATTGCCACGGTCACAAGTTTTCACAGTGATCATGGTGGTCGTGGATCACCTGAGTAATATACACATTTCATTTCCTTACGACATCCCTACATTGCGGTCTCAGTCGCGACAGTATTTATCTGGGTGGTGGTTCATTTGGTCGAGAAGGTTTTTCATTTGATCAGAGTGGTGGTTCATTGGGGGATTGCCACGGAGCAATATCGAGGAAGACGACGTCATCGAAATTATAGTGTCGGATAAGGACAAGGTGTTCTTCAGCCACTTTTGGAATGAGTTATACAGGTTGCAAGGGACAATTCTTAAGAGGAGCACTGTATATCATCCTCAGATCGATGGGCAGACGAAGGTGTTCAACTAGAGTTTGGAAACATTTCTGTGTTTTGTATCTGATACGTTGAAACTATAAGTCAAGTGGATTGTGTGGGTTGAATATTGGTACAATACCTCGTATCACACTGCAACACAGACCACCCATTTCAAGATATTGTATGAGCGAGATCCACCTCACTGGGTATATTATGGGCAGAGCGCCACACCAATATATGACATTGATTAATACTTGGAGAAGAGGGACATAATACTAGTAGAGCTCGAGGGGCATTTGCTGTGAGCTCAATAAATTATGAAGAGGAAAGCAGATGAACACAGGAGAGAGGTGCGGTTTGAACTAGGGTACATGGTTTACTTGAAATTGAGGCCCTACCGACAGAAGACATGGGCCAGGAGGAGGAGCGAAAAAATTTAACTACGATACTTTGGACCATATGAGGTGGTAACATGCATCGGCGAAGTGGCATATCATTTGAGGTTGCCACCATCATCTACATGGTCTTCCATGTATCACAACTGAGACATGCAATTGAATATCATATACCCTCACCTACACTACCGTCGATGCTGATAGAAAACTTGGAGGTGATTTTGAAACCATTAGAGATCGAAGGAGTGCGTTGAGGAGTAGGGGTCAAAGGAGGTATTGGTCAAATGGAAGGGTCTGGCAGACTATGACGCAACATGGGAGCCTTACGAGGTGATCCACAAATAGTTTTCATCCTTTCATCTTAAGGCAATGGTACTTTTTTTGGGAGGAGAGTAATGTTACGCCCTTACATGCGTCGGCCCACCCTGGACTGGTTGGAGCAGTATAATCGACCCACAAGCGAGTCGGTTTTGTCGACGAGAAGAAGTGGAGTGGATTGAGGTAGTCATAGAAGAAGGAAGGGAAAGGTAGGGGTCCACTAGGACCATAATCACGTATGTAAAGAGGAGAAATTAAAGGAGTTTGGAGGAAAAGTTAGGAAGGAAACTTTTTGAAATGTTGTAAGGGGATTCTATTAGGAGGAGAACCTAGGGTTTGTTTTCATTTATGCATGTTTTGTTGTGGCTGTTGTTTTCTTTCTTACTGTGGTGTTTCTAGTGATGTCTAGGGTATGGGAGAGATGATCTACCTCTCGAATAGTAGACCAACTTTATATCTTGCTTGTTTCCTTTGATCTTTTGTAAAAGCAGTCCTCATTTGTGTTTTTTCCACCTATCTATTGCCATTTAGTTGTGGTTTGTTCGCTGATTTTGGTTCCGAGGCCTATCATTTGGGTGAGGGAGGTTTGTAGATTGATGGGGATTTTCGGTTTGAGGGAGCCTATTTGGGATCTTGTTGTCATGGAGTGTTTGATTGGTGGAGGTGGGATGCGTGAGGAGGTTGTGGGGGTAGGATGTGGAATGTCTGCTAGATTTAGAAGTTCGGGTGGATTACGGTGAGGTGGTTTTGTGATGAGTTGTATAGGAGATGCTAATGGAAGTGGTGATAGGTTTGTTGGGATAAGAAGGCTTGGTGGTGTATATGTAGTGGGATGCTTTGCCGGTATTGGTTGATTATTGTATGGGAAAATATGCTGGTTGAAGATGACATGCTGAGAGATAATATTGTGGCTTTTTCTATGTTGTAGCTGTAGTAACCTTTGTGGGAGCGTGAGTAGCTGATGAAGATGCATGCTGGGGTGGGGAGTATGAGTTTATGAGGAGCTTGCATTTTTGGCCATGGGAATCATAGACAGTCAAAGGTTCTTAAGTGGGTATATGTGGGAGTTTGGAGTAGAAAATTTTCAATTGGGATTTGAGGTTTTTAGTTTTGGATGGTAGCCTGTTTATTAGGTATGTTGTTGTCATTAATGCGGCCGTCCAAAATTTGGGAGGTAAGTGAGGAGTGAACGGTGAGCAGTGAGCAGTTGTGTTCTTGTGGTTTCGATGAGGTGTTTGTGCTTGCGCTTGGCCACTCCATTTTGTTGAGATATATCAGGGCAGCTGAATTGATGGAGGATGCCATGTGAGTTGAGATATGTGTGTAGGCCGTTGGAGTTGTATTTTTCGCTGCCGTCAGAATAAAGAATTTTTATGTTCTTATTAAATTGAGTGTGTATCATTTTGTTAAAGGAGATTATTTTATTGGTGGTTTCTGATTGATGAACATTGGGAAAACCCAAGTGAAGCGAGAATGGCCATCAACGAGTAAAAGATAATATTTGTAGCATTGTATTGATATGTCGGGGGCTGGACCACAAACTTCAGAATTTACAAGATCAAAATAATATTTAGATGTATAACCAGGAATAGGAAAAGACAAACGATGACTCTTAGCTCATTTCTAGAAAACGTAGAAGTAGGACTAATTTTTGTTTGTTATTCTATATGCAGTGGTGGCGATGGTTTGATGAGGGTGTTCCAGCCTTGGATGCCAGATTTTCGTGGATAGAGGGGGAAGATGTTGCGGCTAGTGAGGATATGGTTCTTGCTGGTTCCTTGGTGGAGGATTTGGTTTGTACTCCGGTCCTTAATGACATAACCAGATTCAGTGAATGAGATGTCACAATTTTTGTCGGAAATTAATTGATAAACAAAAACAAGGTTATGGGATAGGTTGGGTGAGTGGAGTAGATTATAGAGATAAGAGCTTATGTTGAGGGATTGGAAGAATGCCGTGATCGGTGTGAGTAATTGGTATGAGCGAACTATCACCAATGGTGACCGAATTGGAGCCTTGGTATTGTTGGGGATGTTGAAGTGTTCATAGTTGGATATGAGCTGAGTAGTGGCGCCTGAGTCGAGGACCCAGTTGGCTGAGCTTGGGTTTGTGGATATTGTGAGATCTATTTCAGGTTTGGTAGAGAGCTAGGTGCTGAAATTTGCTTGGTGCCAACAGGTTAACACAGTATGTCCCGGTTTGCCGCAAATCTGGCATGCAATGCGAGGGGTGCTATTCCAAGAGCCTCATCCACCTCGGTTGGAGGATTGAGGCGCACGGCTGCTGTTCCCTCAGTAGCTTTGGTGTGGTTTCCGCAGCTTCGATTACATAAGTTGCTTCCTTGTTCATATAATTTGTGGGCTGTAGGATTTCTCTCATTAGCAAGTTCATCGGAGAGATTGTTTTCTTCACTGCATAGTAGAGAGTATAGGCCATCTAGTTTGATGGGTTCAAATATAGTGTGAATAGCAGTTTTGAATGATTGGTATGAGGGAGGTAATCCTTTAAGGATGTGAACGATAATGTCCTCGGGTCAATGTTTCCACCGGCGGCGGCGATGTTGTCGACAAGGGATTTGAGGTTGAGGAGACGCTGGGCCGTAGATTGATCTTTCATGAAGATGTGGTAGAGCTCGTTTCTAAGTTGGATGACCAGGGAGCAATTGGTGAATTGAAGCCGGCTTTGAAGAGTTTGCTAGATTTTGGCGGTGGTTTCTTGGTTTAGGATGTATGGTAGGATGGTGGGGGAGATGGAGTAGATGGCGACCGATAAGTTTTGATCAATAATTTGCTTGCCAACCGGAATATTGGGGGTTTGGAATTGTTTTTTGTTCGGAATTTGTGATTTGAGGAGAAGGGCAAACCGAGGATCCATCCAAGAAGCTTGTGAATCTATTTGCCTTGAAGAGCTGCTTGAACATTTGGGGTCTCCAAGTGGGGTAGTTTGCTGCAGTGAGCTGAACGTGAGCAATGGATTTGACATTTGACATTAGAAATTTGAGGGAGTGAGGGATAGGACCTTCAGCCATTTCCGGTTGGGCTTGTGAAGCTTCTTGGTTTGTGTAGGAAGAAGATGCTGACATTTTAGGGTAGGTTAGAGAGCAGATTTTGAAAAGAAGGGGTTTAGGGAGAGGGATTGAGGAGAGAATCTGATATCTCTGATACCATAAAAGGTTTACCGTTGCATTGAAGAACCTCCGAAGCTCATACAGGAGAACAGGGAAGCGCCAAAATGCATTTGAAATTGTTTCAGGGTATATTTGGTTGTATTTAAAATAAATTCATTTCAGAAATGATCAGCAGAAGGAATGTAATGTTTTTTGAATCAAGAAACTTATTTTTAGCTAGTGTAAAACCTTCTAATTACTTCTTTTGGCAGGCCGGGTTCTTAGAAGGGATGGCCAGCATAATTCCAGGTATATAGCTCCAACTATGCTCCTTTCATTTCAATATATATGAACTGTTAAGTATTTTAAAATAATTTTTGTGAGAGTCATATTATTTTATGAGAATCATAGGGTTAACTAGTGACTGGTTATTCCACAGGCTTGGGTGGAGTAAATGTTATTGAACTTTTAGAAAATGCTTCACAGGAGAGCACACCTGAGAAAGGGAAATTGCTTCTAGAATTCAATGGTGCATTGGGTGATAAGATTCAGGTTTTTGTGGAATAAGCTGCTCCCTTCTTCTCCTCTAAACGCTGTGTTTTTATTTGGTATTTATACATGTTTTTGTGTATGATACATATGAGCATAACTATCACTCCATAAGTAATAAAACTTGAGTTTGTGGCTTGCATTTAGTTGAGTTCGAGAGCGCAAGGCTGCTGTAACGCAGAACTTCTGCATGTTTAGGATTGGTAATTTTTCCTTAAATCTCATGACTTATAATTTATTAGCATTTTAAAAATAGACTTGAACTGAAAAATTTGTTGACTTGATTGGTGAATATCTTGCTAGAAATTTAGGTTCTGTTTGGGACCGCTGCAGCTTATCCAGCTTATCCACATAAGTAATTATAGGGGGTTGCCCAATATGAACCTATACCCCATAACATAATAAACCCTAATCAACTTAAATATGGTAGATAAAAAACTTCTGACAATGTTGGCCCTAGGTCTTGAAGCTATTTTTTTAGATCCATCATTGGTTTTTTTTTTTTTTTGTTCTTTTGAGATAATATATTATTGTTGAAGTCATATCCAATCTCAAAATGAGAAATTTCAAACTCTTATGTGGTCTACAAATTTCCCCTCTAATGGAATGCATCCCTTCTTCACAAGATAGTCTTTTATTTGGATAACACTAGATTTGGATGAAGCCTATTGAAGTATATAGAACTACTTTTATGACAACATATGGCCATATGAATGGCTAGTCATTTGTTTCAAATTTTTTAGTGCTCTTAAAAGCTTCAAGAAAATTACTTAAAAGTTTATCAAAAATTATCTATGGTTAACTTTAATGATTTTTTAATGTATAACTTGGATTAAAAGTCACACACACACACACACATATATATATTTATAAAAAAAGCCCAAGAGCTAATATATTAAAGAAAAAAGTACATTTATGTTGTATGAGATGACCTAAAAGCAACTCACACAATACAACACACCTCACACAATACAACACACAAAAATTCAAAGAAGCAAAGATACATAAAGATAAAAAACAAAAAAGTCACCAACATACCAGGGCGTGGAAGTACTTAGGGACGACTCACACTTTAGTTCTTCCTGTCTCTAGTTCTCGGAAGGGAGCTAGCTAACAAATTGGTAAGGTGCGTACCATTAACCGAAGTAACCAAAGTATCATCCCAGATTTCTGAGCTCAAGTATATCTCTATTCTTCTTCTTCCTCTTGAATGTGTAGACCTTCCATTCCTCATCCGAGGATTGACTCATCTGATCAATGGATTGGTCCAAAGGTGGCCGGACAGGTGTAGGACGTTGCACTTCATGTTCCCCCTGAGTCTGAGTATCATTGACTTCTTTCTGAATCTAATGAGGCGGTAGTGAAACAACAGAAGTATTTTCACCTGTAATATCAGTGATAGGTTCTAGGGCAGGCGAAGTCTGAAGAATCTTCCTTGCCTCCACGATAGGAGGTTCCAAAGACGAGGGAGTTACAACAATGTGTGGAGGCTGAATGGTTGATATATTGCCTGCGGGAATAATGATGTCTTCAGGTTGAATGGTTGATATATTGCCTGCGGGAATAGTGATGTCTTCAGGTGTATCTTTTTGATGATTGATAATGTCAATAACTTGGAGTTGATAAGGAGGAGTTGGAATCACTGCCTCTAGCGGAGCACTTTGCTTTTTTAATCTGAAGTGGGGATGTAGATGATGGCATTGAGAACTGGAGTGGTCGAACATACGATAGTTTGAACAATACGTCTCAATCACAACCTTTTGTCAATATTCATGATGTTATGTGTCTAGCATCTTATCTATGATGTTGTGTGCCCAACCAAATTTCCTCAAAAGCGGAAGAAGTAATGTCTCTTTCAGCAAGTACTCTGGCTTCAGATGGACGAGAAAGATTAAATGTAGGAATGCCTGTCTTGAGTGGCTTACCATAAGCTGAGGCAATAAAATAAAATACTTTTTGAGAAAAATAATGAAATTTCAGACCAGGAAGGCGAATCCAAACCGTAATGATTGACGGTTTCATCTGTGGGTCAAAATCCCCAGTCTATTTCAAAATATTCATTGTTTTTTTATTAATCCAGATTTTCCTTCTAACAAATAAACGTGTGTAATCTCCTTCATTATTAATTTGAATAAGAATGTGTCTCCCATCTAATAGTCTATTTTTCCACTCCCCAACAAGGTGCATAAGTTCAAATTTCTTGTTAATAAGCTCCATTTTGGATAGAAATTTCCCAACCAAGTTCAGACGACAGGAGGAAGCAAGTTGAATATTTTTAGTTTCTGTAAAAAAGATTACAGACTTCCCATTCTTATGTTCGAAACTTTAGGAATTGAAATCTTGACATCAAAATAGGAAAGTGTTTCTTCCTTTTATAAGAAGCTATATTCTTATAATTTTTAGTGTTTATTTAGGGAGATTAATCAAAGACTACCAAAATCAAGTCAATCATAAAATTACCAATTAATGATAGAAATTTTCATAGATTAGTCATTATTTATAGGATATGTTAAGGATTCCAGTACAAAAACAATCCCAACTATAAATATAAATATAAAAGAAAAACTTCAATGGATGGCTATTTATCAAATCCTTTCATAACGTATCATGACCTTATTTACTAGTTGACATATTTAGATTATGTTGTAGAAAGTGTTGATAAGAGATCATCCAAAAATATAATTATAGGCCAGTGGAGCCCTTAATGATGGCAAAAAATTTTGCTAGTCTCATTGAATTCCTCATTTTATTAAGTGGCCTTCAAAGTGATGGCGCATGCATGGCTACACTCGCCCTCTTAAAGTTGATTAAAGAACCATTGGCAAGTTGAAAGTTTCAGAGGTTAATGTCCATTCTCTTGGCTAACTTAAGAAATAGGTTGTTGATGGAGTTGGTCATGTCAATCAAAATATGGAGCATCTTAAAATGAGATATGCTCATTGAGAAAATGATGGTTGAATTATTGATGTTGTGATAGAGTATTTTATAAGTTGACGATAAATGATTAGCAGTATGAAAGCATATAGAGTAGTGATGTATAAGCATTCAAAGGCTACATTGTTGAGCTAACTTAAAACTATTACTTTCAATGATGAATTACTTTATCTTCAATTCTTGATTTCAATCCTAAGATTAAATGGGGCCGATCATTAGGTTGCTTATCATCGTGGAAACCAATTCAATATTTTTTAGTGGTGTTCTCAAATATTTTTCATAGAAAATGCCTTAAAGAGAAATCGTTCCTACGTGTTATGGCCATAATTGTTATGGTACTAGGAGAACTAAGATTTTTATTTTGGCTTATGACTTTTCAATGGCAGTAGCTAAATGAAATACTCCTTCAAAATTTTTGTAATGTGTATGATGAGTGGCTAATTCATGAAGGAGATAATATCCCTAAACCTCTATAGAGGGGGCATAGTGAGTCACATATGATGTGCAGAGTGAGGCTGGTGAAACATTCTCCCATTATGGGGGAAATTTATGCTTGTTTCTTCTAATGTTGAGGAATGTGAGAAAAGGAACTCTTCTATTCTACTTTTCTCTTTACAAAAGCTTTAGTAATGAGAAGACCTATTCATAGTATTAAATAAATCCCTTAATGTTAATATACTAAGAGGCCTTTTACAATAAGCCCTCTAGATTTGTTTGTAGATTATTAGCAACAAAAAATTTAATCTTTTAGGCTGTACCCATGTAAAAAAAGTAGCATTGGTGATGTAAATATCTTCATCAATTACATCATGCAAAACTTTATTAAATTAGTGAGTGTAATAGTTCAAAGACTCCTTTACTTTTGGCTCGACACAAAATAACAAATAAAAGGGCTTAAATGGCATTTTGGATTCAGTGAACTTGACATGCGTCATGATAGAGGGTCCTCTTGGGTTCTTGGTGGCTTTGACAAATATTCTGGAGTAGGGATTAGTTGGAGGCTACTGGAGGCAAGGATTAGAGAGAATTTTAAGAGCTTTCCTTAAAAGTCTTCTTCCTCCTTGGGTGGAAACCGAAAGGGGTGAGTTTTTCCCTTGCTTTGTGAGTTGTGAGGGATTTGTTGAGAGGAAGGATTGCTGTCATTGTGGAGAGAACAAGTTATTATAAGTTTTACATGTTTTTGTTTCTTACAATGAACTTCTGCATAGTTTTGTTTTCTATGATTTTCTCGACGATGTGTGACTAACTTATAATTCGTGTCTCTATGATATAGTGGTAGTGGATTTAGTTGTGATTTTGTCGTAATTTTTGAGTTAGTGTTTTCTTGTGCTTTCGTGACCCATGTTGTAGGTTAACCTAGAAACTTCATTTACTCTTAGTTTGGCCAACAAGAATATTGCTATGACCTCTAATTGTTGAGTAGTAGAAACGAAGGGTTAACTATAAAATTTTGAAAATTCTGCAATTATCCAGGGGATCAAAACAATTATGTGGAATGTCATGGGGATTAATAACTTCATGAATTTTAGGCTTTTTTTGACCTAAACATAGGCATACAGAGTAACATATCCCCTTGACAACAATCACGTAGGAAAACATGTAGGAACGCCATGATCACCACGATCTCTAAAGCACAGAGGCACGAGCCTCATCAATCTTGAAGGAACTATTAAATGCTTTTCCACTTCTTTTGTTTTCTCCTTCCTGCAATTTCCTCTGTTTTTGCTAGAAACTTAGGACTTAAACCATATTTGCAAACACATCAAGCTAGGTTCACCAAATTAGTAAACCCAAGTTTTTTCTGCAGAATAATTGCTAGAATTTTATCATGGGATTCATACACGGACTCTTAAACCGCATACTACTTTACATGTGAACTTGCGTTGTACATCCGACTTACTTTACAGTAAGTATTGGTGCATCATCATAAATTTTGATGGAAATGAGAAGAGAACAACTCAAAAAAGCTAATATTGTTGATTGATTGAGGGATGAACCATTTTTAGTCGACACCTCCAAATGTATTAAAAAAGAACTAACACATAATCATATTGAAGATATTATGCATGGATATAATACTCTCAAGCATGTCTAAATGATTTGTAAGATAATAATCTACTTGTTTATTACTAGTTGAATGATTTTTAACATTTAGTGAGACAAAACAATTTAGTTATTTTAGATATAAAGTTTTGTTATCTATGTGTTATCATCTTGATACTAGAGATGAGGCTGCATCAATAATGGTAGATTGACCCATATTTGAGTTTTAAATAAGGATGATGCTTGAGGTAAGAAGCTGCTTAAAATATGCCTTAACAATCCCAATGATCCTTGAGATTAGAATCAAAATAGTTGTAAATAAAAAATATTTTCTACCCTAAGAATTCCTAACAGATGGATAATTGAATTTATAATGTTGATGACCCTCTACAATGGATACTAACCATAATAAGAACATTAGTTTTTTTTCTTCAAAAAGTTGACAATGAGAAGGAAGTCAATAATGAATACTCATCAAATTGAGTTGGGAGGCTTACATGCATCAAATGTTTCAAAAGATAGAGAATAAAAGCTCGTTATATTCATGAATACTCTATTAAAAGGCAAGAAAGGTGGAGGAGAGAAAGAGAGTCAAAACAATAAAAACTTTTATTGTGGATTAATCACTCCACCCATGTTCATTATGTGTTTGACCAAAATAATTTAGTGTCCGTTTGAGGCAGCTTATTTGGTGCGGTAGCGTTTTGAAAACACAGGAGACCTGTTTGGGTAAACTGTGTTTTGACAGCGTATGTGTTTTCAAAACGCTGAAAACAGCGTTTTCACACCGCACCTATCTCGGTTTGGTGACAACTTTCAGGCTGCAGTCTAACTTTTCCACAAAAACTTTTCCACAAAAATAAAAACAAATAAAAACTTGTAATAGCCACCGCACCTAGTTTATCAGCAGATTAGTTTTATTTAGTTTATCAGCAGATAATTCAATAAGTTACAGCTGCCCCAAATAGACCCTTAATGTCCTTCTAATCAAATTATAACGCCTGAAATCTGGTAGAGAACAACACAACTAGAATAAGTAAGAAAATAATACATATAATTTTTTTTGAGATAAGAAAAGAATGTTCTCTTAAACATATTATAGAATGATTTGTAGAAAATATTAAGAAAGGAAGTGATTGGATCAAGCTCTATTCATGGATCTTAAGCTCTAATCCAAGATGCCAATACATTGGGCGTTGATGAAAGATGTAATTGAGCTTATTATTAAGGCTAATTCAATTTAGATAGCTAACCAACTCCTCCCATAGCCAACCCAAATTACAACATCTTCCATCACTTTTATAGATTTTTTTGGGTAAGCTCATTATACCAAAGGTTTGCTCATTGAATGTCAATGGCAGTGGCGTAAAAAACACTTATAATTTCATAATATTCGAATGTGATATCATGGGTGTATGTTTATGTGCTTGTAGAATCTCGTGATCATCGGACATTGGATTTTGGGAAAAAATTATGTTAATGACGAAAGGATTGTGGGGATCGAGATAGCACTAAATATGCAACAATATGAGAATAATGGGGACAACAATAATTATGTTGATACAAAAAGGGTATACTGAGACTGACAAATTAGTACTTTAATATCGTGGATGTTAAGGCTCATCTCTTATGCTCCATAAGTGTGCGAACAATCTTAAGAAAATGACATTTTGTTTGGCATGCCCAAGTAATATTGTCGTGATTATTTGGATTGGAGAACTTTCTAAGAGTGGGCTTAAGAACCAACTAGAGGATTTCTAATAAGGTTGTCAAATATTGGCGAAGAGATCAACCAATTCAACAGCCTTGAGAAGGCCTCATTATGGAACATGATAGAGGACATTCCCAAGAGATTTCTTGAGGACACTTCCGAAGGTAGTGGGAATGACACATGGAGCAAATTATTGCTGCATGTAGTAGTAATTAAATGTTGAGATGCTCTGAATACTTGAGGCTAATAATTTTGGGTTAAAAAATTAGGGTAAAAATAAAAATAATAAAATGATTGATAGAAAAACAAGAATAAATAAAAGATATGAAGAATAAGATGAGTAAATAGTATAAATAAAAAAATAAATTTAAAAGAGAGATGGAGATCAATCATCAAATTATTGTAATATTCAATTTATCCTTGAATATTTTGCCAAAATATTTTCATTGACTCATAACTTTAATTTATTGTTAAATTTGTTAGACATTAAAGAAAGGTTATCATATGTCTTTTGTTGCAAATTGAAACATAAATATAATATATCAAAAATTAAATGAGTAAAATATATTAAAAGTAAAAGATACATATATTTATAAACTAAAATAATGAAAGATTGGATACTCATTATTATCAAGTATAGAATTCAACCTTTTTTTTTTATATGATAAATAGAATTCAACCTTTTTTTTTAATTATTCATGACAATTATATCCAATTTAATTAAAATGATCAAAATTAATTATGATATATTTATTTAGCTATTTAAAATGAATAGAATGGTAAAGACAATTCTTAACTTAAAAATAAATTAAAAATTGATTGACTAAATATTATTCATTTCAATTGAATTGATTAGCTAATTTCAGGCTACTTTCTATATTATAGGCAGATTTTTTCTTAAAAATAATTCTAAGGAATATCTAAGGATTTATTTAACCAATACTATTATTCCTTTTTAAGAACTTCTTAATATCTTTTATTTGCTTACTTATTATTTGAAGTAATCTTTGTTCCTTCACTTTGCTTTGCACTTTCTTTTTATTTGTGTAATTCAATTTGAATTTGAACTCTTAGGGAATAATTGGTACATAAAAAAGTGAATTTAAGTTGAATCCAATCAAATATCAAAAAAATAAAAATGAAATTGAACTGTCTATCAAATCATAATTTTCTATTTCTAGTCTCTTTCGCTCTCTTTTTCTCTATGAAACGGCGTAAATATGGATATAATAAATCCAATTACACGGAGGATTTATTTCGCCGTTGCCCGAACTCCATCACTATCATGAGCTCTGTCTGTCGTCAAATTTATTAAATTGATAAATTTTATTTAACAAAAATTCCCATTGCACCGCCTTAATCCAAAATAAAAAAAAAATGTTAATTACATACATAAAACCCGAAACACTGCTACAAATCTAACACGCTCTTTCATCCATTTCTCAAATTCTCAATCAAACATAAAAATTCATGATAAAACCCAAATCC